GTCTGCACCTTCTCCCTCTCTTCAGCACAGGTGAGTGTCTGTATCCGAAATGTCTTATGAACAGGATTCAGTGAAAACAAACAAACAAACGCCGGCTGCGGAAATGGGGAAGGCTGAGTTTCTGTAAGCTGTTCTCTTACCGGCACTGCATGCTCTGGTCAGCACTTCAGGTTGTCCCCTTTAGGCTCAGTCCTCCATGATCACAGAACCGAGATCTCAAAATCCCCCGTCGCCAGGAATCCCGCGGATCTCCTTGCCCCAGCAGGGGCTGTGCCTGTCCCAAGGGACGTGGCTGTCTGCCACTCAGTCTCCCTCCGACCCTCTGGGCTCAGAGGTCTGGCAAACTTTCCTGCCCAGATCCCTGGTTTTTTTTTTCCCTTTCCGGGGGGGTTCTCCCCTTCCCGGCTGCAAACCGCCTCACCAGCTGAGTAATTTCGCCAATTTGGGGTGGGTGTTATTAGTTTCAGCTGCTTACTCCATTTGCTCTGGGACAAGACCTGGGATGCGTCTGCCTATATCGCCGCCATCTTCCCAACTCTCAAGAAAGTCAGTTTTAGTACCACTGAGGCTTTTTGCCCCAGCCTGCCTGCTTTTTCAGTTCTTTGAATCTATGTTTCTGTGCTCTGCTGGAGCAGGCAGTCTTTGGTGAGGTTCCCAGGATGGAATATACTTGCCGCCATCACCCTTGAGGCCTGCATCTTCCCAGATGCTGTCAGAAACAGGGAACCAGTGCCCACAGCTCTAGGACCCAGTTTGCCCATCCAAACCTCTTCCTGGCCACTTTCCTTGCCCTCAAATACTTGTTCCCTTAACTCCCTGCTTCCCCACCCTGGTCCCAGCCCCTGAACCTCCATGGTTTGGTGTCTTTAATAAAAATATGGAGGGAAATAATAATTGGAATCCTATCTGATTGGAATGGGGGAGAGGATAAAGTTGTACCACTGAATAACACAGTATTGCCAGTGTTTTCATCTTCACCAATCTCACAGGCCAAATAGAATAACTCTTGGTTAAGTAATTTACATTCTTTTTGTCTTAAACAATACATTTTTATTGATTTGAGAGAGAGAGGGAGAGAGAAACTTTGATTGGCTGCCTCCCACTGGGGATAGAGTCCCCATCCAGGGCATGTTTCCTGATTGGGAACTGAACTGGTGACCTCTTGGTGCATGAGACAATGCTCAATCAACTGAGCCACACAGGCCAGGGCCATTTTACATTCTTTTGATTATTGATGAAGTTGACCATTTCTTTTCATGTCTATAGCTCTTTTATCTTTATTCTTAGAATTGCCTGTTCAGATTTCTTGTTCATTTTCTCGGAGTTTTGTTTATTTCCCCCCTTATTTTTAGTGATAGTCTCTATTTCTATAAGTATTTACCATTTATTATACAGATTATACTTTCTCCTACTCTGCCGTTTGCCTTAAACTTTGTTCATATTTTTCTAACTGTGCAGAAGTTTTAAATTTTGATATGTTCAAAACTATCCATATTTTTCTTCTTGTTTTATCTGGGTCTCATGGAAAGACTAAAATTTAAAAAGTAAAATAACTCCCATGGGTAAGAAGATAAAGAGAATAAGTTTTATAGAGATGAGAAAGACACTATGCTAAGAGAGAAAAGGGAAAATTAAAAGAATAACTCATTTTAAAAGGAGAAGTAGAGTTAAAAAGGTTACAAGGATTGAGTTAGAAAAACAGCAAGAAAGGCAAACAAGCTAGGAATAACTGCTGTATACATAAATAAGTTAAACTCTAAAATTAAAACAAGAGGGGATAAATATTAATTAGGCCAAAAAGCACAACAATTTAATTGATGAAGGACTTTAAAAGGTAAATCTCTATGGGCTATATGAGAAAGATGTACTAGAAAGTAATATGAATTTCTGAGCTTAATGATTTTTATAGAGGCAAATAGGGTAATATGATATATACTAAGGTCCGATGCACAAAAATTCATGCAAGAATGGGCCTTCCTTCCCCTGGCTGCCAGCACCGCCTTCGCTCAGGCCGGAGCTGCCTTTCCGCCTTCTCACGCTGCCCAGAGGCCTGGAGCGACTGGGGCGGTGCGGAACACCTGCGTCCTGCCCTGCCCCGCCCCCCACCACTCGGTGCCTACATATGCAAATTAACCCGCCATCTTTGTTGGCTTAATTTGCATACTCACTCCTGATTGGCTGGTGGGTGTTGCAAAGGTACGGTCAATTTGTATCTTTCTCTTTTATTAGTGTGATATATATCCATCTCACTATTATTTTTATATGTAATATCTATATTATAAAAAGCCAGTGGCTCTAACGCTGGAACGCCGGAACAACCAAACAACTGGTCACCAGGAAGTGTAATGATGGGTCCCACGGCGGCGGCGGGAGGGACTCTGGGTCCCGTGGCAGTGGCGGCAGGACTCTGGGTCTCGTGCCATTTCGTGTGCTGAACCTCTAGTATGAGATATAATAAGATATATGTATATATAATGTGAGTTAATATATAGGGAGGTAGATTACATTTTCTCAGTTTGATGTCATCCATTTACCATTAAACTACAGTTAGCTTGAAAATTTTTTTTTATTTTCTACACATTAGCAAAACAGTGGTATTATACTGATTAATAATGGGTTGTTTGAAAGAAATTTCTACTTGCTCTTTAACCAAGCCTTATCCAATTTCCATTACCTCCTTGTTGGTATATGCATGGTAAAATTTTGGATCCAGTGTGCTATGATGTATTTATAAGCATAGTGTATTGCAGTCTTGCTTTATTACCTAACCATCATGTAGAATGATTAAAATGGTGTAAACGATTAAAACGGTGGCTATTGCAGATGCTTGTTTTCTTTTTTCAGGTTTCGTGACTCACTGGAAGGTGATACTATCGTGGTTCATGCCATACAAAGCGATCACAAGATAACCTCCTATAGGCTCGTGAAGCCCTCCAAGTATTTCAAATCCAAACGGCCAAGTCAGTCCGACAGAAGGGCAAGCAAAATGGAGAGGTTTGAAAAAGAAGGAACTGGAAGAAAGGATAGCCAGAAAGAGACAGGTAACCTAAATGACCAGAAGGCTTTTCAATCTTCACTTAAACTTTGACAACCGGATTGTATGTTTGTAGGCAGAACATTGGAAAGCCTTTTGGTGGCTTGAGCTCAGTCTCTTGTCTCCCGTCCTTTATTTCTTTGGAATAAATAATCAAAAGGAACTTTGTATGGCTGGGAAGGAGAGACCAAGTTTCTCCAGCAAATGCTCCAACCAACTTTCCTATTCGATACAATCTATGAAAGAAAACCCACCCTGGTCATGTGACTGAGAGGATACGAGTACCGGATGCTTCCAGCCTCCACCAACTTTTATTTTATTTATTATTTATTTTTATTTTTGGTTAATCCTCACCATAGGATATTTTTCCATTGATTTTTTTTTAGAGAGAGTGGAAGGGAAGGGGAGAGGCAGAGAGAGAGAAACATCCATGTGAGAGAGATACTTCGATTGGCTGCCTCTCACATGCCAACCAGGGCCAGGGATGGAGCCTGCAACCCGGGCATGTGCCCTTGACCAGAATCGAACCCAGGACCCATCAGTCTGCAGGCCGACGCTCTATCCACTGAGCCAAACCATATCCACCTATTTTTAAATCTAGGATTTCCCCAGATGCTAGTTTCAAGGCATTGTTTCTTCCCAGGTTCCTGGACTCTGCCTCAGAGTGTGGGGCTGGAATACAGTATTTCAAACTGTTTTCGAAGAGCACGTGCCTTAAACAGAACACTGAGCTGAGAATGCAGATGTGACAGCAGTGCCCCTAATTCCTGTGACCTGCCTCTTGTAACTGCCCACGGGGTGACTGCAAATGACTAGAAGGAAGACAGGAACTCAGGGCACGGTGTGGAGAGCCAGGCGACAACCAATAAAGGGCTCTGTAGCCGGCCAGGTCTGGCTGTGCCTGTGATACAGTCCTGGCATTGAAGCCGGGTTATCCGCTGCATTGAGAAACCTTTAGCAGCTCTTTTCTGCCTCTAGGATAAATTCTGAAACCATTATCCCAGTATTGTTTCCCACAGTGTATCTCTATTCTGTTTCCTGTTAATGGTGCATTCCCACACTTGTATTTTTAGTCTATTGCCCTGCTTGCTGCTCCCTAATTATGCCTGATGCTTCCACATGCAGGCTCCTGGTAGAGTGACCAATTCACTCTTTTCTCTGAATTCTGTCAGTTCATGGGAATCCAGACTGAATTATACTTTTAAAAAATAAAACCTTTTCATGACCATCCAGGCCACATAGACTCTTCCTTTTTCTGTACTGTTAAATATTTGAAATATGACATGGTGAGTTATAACTATATGACCATCTCATTAACATTTCTCATGTATCTCTAAATTATGTCTCTAGCTTGAACATGAATTGAGTAATTCCCCCAGTAGATACTTATTAGTTGATAAATCCAGTAACTCCCCCTGGAGGAAGCAGTTTTTATTGGTGTTATCTCCAGAAACCAGAGAGACTGCGTACCCACTTTCAGTCACCCCCTATCCCTTTAGGGGAAGAGGTATAAATTGCCTTTTGGTTTTCTGAAGCCCTAGTCTTTCCCCTCCCCATGTAGGCTTAGAAATTCAGTAGCAATATTGATTTGAGGTTGTTGTTGTTTTCAGCAATGCCTGCTGCAGCTACATAGTAACGGTAGGTGAAGGAGTGTGGGGGAAGCAGTTAGATGAGTAAGCAGAGGTATGCACAGGAAAACAGGAACATAGCCTATCAAAGGGCTCTCTGTCCAGCCTCGCTGGCTTGATCCTCCATTGGTTGTATTTCTCTTTATGCTGAATCACACCTTTCTGAATCACATCTGGGATTTCCACTGCCAGCTGTGGACCCAGCCCCAGAGCCATGAGATGAGCTAGTCCTGGTCCACAAAGGCTTAAAGTGAGCAGTCAGACATATTTTGCCACCCCTATACTTATCTTTGCTGTTTTTCCATCCAGTTCTGGGACTGCAATTTCTGGAGCAGTAGTGGGATATGGATAGGAATTTCAAACTTGATGTCAAACTCATTTGAGGAGATCATGAATGTACCGGCATTTTCCATACCACCCAGTCCTTTCCCTGTGGGACTGCAGTTGGAACCAATCATTGTCCGAGTTCTCATTTTCCACATGAAGGACGAGAGACTGATATTCCTCCTTGAGTCACTGCACCCACAGTTCAGCATTAAGTGTTCAGCACCAGGATGTCAGACACGGCATGCCAGGAGGCCTTGTCTGTCATCTTGAACAAGGGCCTAAAACGAATAACTTTAAAATTATAGCTTTGATTGTATGTTTCTGATCAGTTTTTAAATTGGCCACAGACCCCTGCAGTTGGCATATATCATCACCTCAGATTATACATCTCAAATAGGACTCACTCTCGCCTTCCCTTACTGAGATATCACAAGCATTCCTTCCCAGCTTCCCCATATACAGGGTGTTCACCCAAAATGTATACATATACTTTAACAGCTGATAGCTCAATTTTGACAATGAGATGTATTTTAATAAACACTGCCTGTATAGTTATTCAAAGTGTGTGTATACATTTTCTGGGACACCCTGTATGTGTCACTGGCCCATCATTGTGTATCTCTCTGTTTAATATACATGTTTTATCTTGCCAGCTTTTCAATAAGCAAACATTGTAACTTAGATCTCCTTATTTTGGTATTGTAAAATACTTATGATGGGGTTGAATTCATGGTAGTTGCTTAATAAATACTGTGATTTACAGATTCATTATATTATCTGGATTTTAAAAAATGTGATAGATTGAAAACAATGTTTGAGAATTTCATTTTGATGTTTCAAAGAGATTGAAAAAAATGTCGACTCTCTGTGCAGGTGGGATTACTAGTGTGCCAGAAGAATCAATTATAGAAAAAGGGAAGCTATTTCGGCCTAAGACCTTAAGTCAAATTATGATAGAAAATCAAATTGAGAAAACGAAGAAACTTATTTTAAAAGCTGAAAGGGCCCAGCAAAAGATTCAGCAGCGCAAAAAAGAATGGGAGGAACTGTAAGTTTTTTTTATGTAAACTCTTTTATTTTAATATGAGTCTCAAAATATCTTTAGCAATGTCAATAAATATAACAATGTTAAATTTAAAGAAGTGGAAAAAAAAATAGAAACAGAGATGGAAGACAGGTCAGCAGAACTTTCAGGGTGGGGATACCTTGGTGGAACTTCTATGATCCTAAGAGTTTCAGGTCCAGGAATTTCATTTTCCTAATATACTCAGAGTGACTTAAGGATAAAGACATTCTCTTTATCCCAACATCAAGAAGACATTCTCCAGATGTTCTTCTAACATCTTATAGTTTTGGCTTTCACCTATAGGTCTCTAACCATCTTAAATCAACTTAAAAAAATCTAATATGAGGTACTTTTATCTAACAAGCACATCTTTTCTTTTTGTTGTTGTTGTTGCCATCTATATATCTTTGGTGAAATTTCTCTTCATGTCTTTTGTCCATGTTCAAATAAGATTGTTAACTATTTACATGTTGAGTTTTGAGAGTTTTCAAAAATATATTCTACAGATTCGTCTTGTGTCAGATATGCTGTTTTCAAATATTTTCTCCTAGTCTGTAGCTTGTCTTTTCATTCCCTTAATAAGGTCATCTGCAGAGCAAAAGTTTTTCATTTCGTTGAATCCAATTTGTCAATTTTTCCTTCTGTGAATCTTGATTTTAGTATCAAGTCTAAGAATTCTGCCTAACACTAGGCCCCAAATAATTTTTCTATTTTTATTAAAGTTTTATAGTTTTACACTGTATATTTAAGTCTGTGATCCATTTGGTGTTCATTTTTGTATAAGGTGTGAGATTTATGTTTATTTATTTTGTTGCCTGTAGATGTCCAATTGCTGTCACTATTTATTGAAAAACCTCTATTGCCTCCACTGAATTGCTTCTGCACTTTGTCAAAAATCACCTGGGCATATTTATGTGGGTCTGTTTTCCACTTCACTTTCTGATCCAATGACTTATTTATCTGCCCCTTTGCCAGTATACACTGGCTGGATTACTGTAACTATGTAATAGGTCTTGAAGTTGGGTAGACTGATTTCTTTTTCTCATTTTATTCTTCTTTTAGCTATTCTAGTTACTTTGCTTTTCCATATAAATTTTAGAATAATCTATGTTTACAAAAAAGTCTTTCTGAAATTATGAGAGGAATTGTGTTAAACCTTGTATCAGTTTGGAGAAAATTGACATACAGTCAAACCTCGTTTCTTGAACATCTCCCATCTTGAACAATTTGGTTCTGGACCAAGTTTTTAACAGAAAAAGTATCTCGGTTGTCAAACCAAGCTTCAGTTTTCGAACTGACAACTTTTTCAAGCTGATACCTCAGCATGACAAAAATCATCTCTCAGGCAACAAACAAAAGAGAGAATGCTTTTGTTGCCAGCAAAATCAACAATCAACACTTAGCACCGTTTTTAAACATAGAGGCCATCAAGAGTGCTAGTGTTGCCAAGGGTGTGAAAGAAACAATGATCACAGACAATTGCAGAGGTAGAAAAACTGTTATTGATTTGGATAGACAAAAAGCAATTAGCCAGTGATAGCAGTTAGCCAGGGACAGCCATTTCGGAGGCAGTGATACATGAACAAGCAAAGATGCTGCATGCTGACCTGAAAGACATCCCTGGACCGAATGCTCAAAGTGATTCATTTAAGGCTAGTAGGGGGTGATTTGATAAATTTAAGAAAAGAAGTATTTATTTATAGATTAAATAGTATATTAGACATGTACTGTATATAAAAAAGGTTAAAACAGGAAATCATTTGGGGGTCTGGAATGGATTAATTCAATTTCCATTATTTCTAAGGGGGAAAAAAAAAGATTTGTTTTTTTTTTAACAAATCGCTTCTCAAACAGCCTTCCAGAACAAATTAAGTTTGAGAACCAACCGAGGTTCCACTGTATTTATTATGTTGAGTCTTCTAATCCATGGACATGGTATGACTCTCCATTTATTTATATCTTTGATTTTTTTCATCTGTTTTGTTGTATCTATCTATCTATCTATCTATCTATCTATCTATCTATCTATCATCTATCATCACTCAAGGACATGTCTACTGATTTTAGAGAAAGAGGAAGGGAGAGAAAGAAACATTGATTGGTTGCCTCCTGTATGCACTCCAATCTGGATTGAATCCACAACCTAGGTATGTGCTCTGACTAGGAATTGAACCGACAACCCTTTGATATATGGGATGATGCTCTAATCAACTGAGCGACCCAGCCAGGGCTATTTTGTTGTATTTAAACATGGAAGTACTATACATATTTTGCTAGATATACACATAAATATTTTACTTTTTTGTTAATTGCAAATGGTATTGTGCTTTTAATTTTGGTTTCTGTGTGTTCATGTTTATTGCTAGTCATACAATTAATTTTTGTGTTCATGTGGGTACTGTGACCTTGCTGCACTGAGAGGTTTTTGTTTGTTTTGTTGGTTTTTTTGTTATGATTCGTTGAACAGACAACCGGACAACCAGACACTTAGCATATTAGGCTTTTATTATATACTAGAGGCCCAGTGCACAAAAAGTTGTGCACTCAGGAGGGGGGGTCCCCTCAGCCCAGCCTGTGCCCTCTCGCAGTCTGGGACCCCT